ACTGAATGCTTGTTTTTTTCTCTTGCTATTCTTTCCATACACATTAATATGAACTCATGATGCCAGGCAAGGCAATGTTCCCACGAAACAGGTTACGATTTCTTAAGGCTTGACGGCTACATTATTACAATTTTACTACAGTTGTGTGAGCTGTATGGTATGGCGAAGTAAACTGTTGCTCATACCGCACCGCACTTTAACGTCGAACATATTGTGCTCAGTTATTTCTAGCTATCGTCATCAGCTATGATATGTTAACTTTTTTAAGTTATATGTATCGCATCGATAGCCCCTAAAGTATAGGCCGTTGTGAATTCGATTTGTTAGGCAACCCTTGTAAATGGCACTTTCAAAATTGGAATAAATGTTAAAATTTAATTGGAAAGTTAACTCATTTGTCTCAGTTGACCGAGTCCAGATACTCATGATTCTCGATAGGAAATTTTCTTCTAGCTCATTAACTCAATCACAATTAATCACAATTTAAATTAACTTGAACGATATGAAAGCCTTAAGATGAATATTGTTTTCTTTATTTCGTCAAATGCCTGTACCACGTTTGAAATTTGTCAATATCGTCTAGTGACGTTCCAACAGCAAATAAATCGGTACGACACATAAGAATCCAGAAACACGTGTAAATTACAAATAAATTTTTAATTTGATGACTTTGTCTTCAATTGAGATAGCGAGTTATATGGCTGTATGACTTGATATATATGATATACAATGTGCAGAGCATGCGTTGATTTTCGCTGCATCTTGGAATAAGCTAACGATAGGCATTAAGAAATTCGGCCCGAATACAATACCATTTTTTTTCTTTGTTTATTTTTCAGATATTAAACTCTGCAAAAATATACGTAGACTAACTAAGGTAACAAGTATTCGTTTCACTAACATGCTAACTGCTTATTTATATATATATATATATATTTTTTTTTTTTGGCAAATTTTTGCGCACCGACTAAACTGACCAACCAGCCATATTGTTTATTCATTTTATGTTGTCGGTTTTTTGCTTTGTTTATTCTCGTTTCTCCTTTCATTTAATTTTCTTAGGCAGAAATAGTTAGAATTACAGTAAATCAACGTATGCTCAGGCTGCCTAACCAGAACCATGTTATTGGTCCAGCGCAGCAAAACAGTGGGATTATTTCATAATAAATTTTGATGTAAATCCTTTATGCACAATTCTACACAGTTGTAAAGATTCTGTTTGAAAGCTTTTCATATTAAAAAACAAATTTTGTGGAAGTCTAAAATACGCTTTATAGCTTTGAGGGATATATGTTTTTCTTAATCAAGCAAAGTATATGACCCGATACTCTATCTGTTTATCTGCTTTTCCGCTCGCCTGCATATAAAAGCACGAAGTCGCCCGAAACCTGAAAAAATGTTTATATTTTCCTGCCAATTAAATCAAGCTGTTTAAGGCAAATATCAATTTGAAGTATGGAACAAAAAGTGTATGCAGTTAAATCCAACCAAAAATTGGCCAAGACAAGTTTATTATATAAGTAATGGAATAGAAGTAAACTTTCTTTGCTACTATACCCTAAGCTGATTGCAGAAAGGGAAATAAAAATCAGTGTTGATGTTCCACTTATAGAAAAAATATGAACATACAAGCATGCAGTTTTCTTAAAGCGTTGTGCATATATAATATTCAAAAATAACAACAAATACATGATCGTAGTTAATGCAGGTTAATTAAAATTGATATCATCCGCAGGCTTCTTTACACAGCAGCTAAAGAGTAAAGTGTCTATTTTCGTCCCTATCCACAGCACTGTAACCACTGTGCAAATTATCTTGTAATCGAGCATCAATTGTGGTTGCATGCTTTGAATGTACATATGTGCAACCAAACAGCTTAAAGCTGTCGGTTAATGTTTTTTTTCTTTTTGCGGTTTATTTTAGCTCTTTTTCTTCGACTCATATAACCATATTAACGTGCGAGCGCTTGAAATACATGTTTATATACGTGCGGTTTTCTCATATTAGTCTCTTTAAATGGCAAAATGGGAGTTAAATCCCATTTTTGTTTTATTATTAATATTTCTGTTTTTATTTTCAATATTAGATTATGTTCAATATGCGAAGCTTTAACACTTTGCACTAAAAATGGTAATGTATACTACGCGTATATAAATGGTAAACAAGTTGGTAATGAATGTTGGTTATGTGGGTAAGCATGTGTAGGTTACTTCGTGGTGTGGCAATGCTGAAATATTTTTGCCTAAAGCTTGAAATTATTGCTGCTGCACAAGCACTACTTGTTTAGTGGGAGATAAACAATTATATCGTATACGTTATTGTTATTAGCAAACTTATTATAAAAAAAAATATTATTTATGGTCAAAAGTATCGATAATATAATAGATGTGTTAATTTGTTTTACTTAGAGATTAGTGCTTTGCTTAGAACAATGAATAAATAGAACAAGGACTTTCGATTTAAAGAAGAATAAAAAGTACAACCGTAATATATTTTATATATTTTGTCATCATTTTTATTCGTATAGTACCTAATTCTTACTTCATATTTTATTTCCGCGGTTCATAAGCTTGAGGAGCATCTCATCACACATGGGTTATGTAATCAATAGATATACACAAATTACATAATATATATAACACAGGATCCGAGCAGCAGAAGCAACTTGAAAACATTGATTTTAGCAACAAACAACAAATTATATTCAACACCAAAAAAATATTGTAATCTAAATTATTTTAATCTCTTCTATTTCTTCTCTTCTTTCTCTCGACCACTATTCAAGCAAGGATAAAAATATACTATACGTTTATTATTTCGTTCGTAACTCTGGTAAGACAATTATATAAACAAAGAGAGGTAATGATACGCTTCAACACTTCCCACAGTGAGTTTAATTGGCCATACAAATTAAATAAATCTGATACTCCGGCTATAGTTGAGGCCCCTAGCTTATAGGGATTGTCTAACCCTCTCGAGGGCGACTGTTCAAGCATAAATAACCGGAATGTCTGCATACGTCGTTCGCAATTCAGGTCACATTTAATAAACTTTTCAACGAGACAATTGAATGCTTAGGACGAACGCTAGTAAAAATAGTTGAGTTGGGACCACTTCTTCAACCATTCTATATAACACGTTCTTTTGGAAAGTTATTATGTAAATAATTGTATTAAACGAACCGATTACGGTTTTTAAATCTTGGGCAGTGTTCCATTATACTTTTTTTGCTTGTTTAAAACCATAATTAATCGATTGTATCGCACGAAGGTTAAAACCGTTATTAAAAAATTAATATTGATTTACTCTAATACGTTAAATCAAACGATTAATCATTTTTTCAATTTTATTTATTTCTTTACTTTTTTTTGACTCTTCAAAGTCCTAAACTCAAAACTAATTGAAAAGACGTGAACATTCTTGGCTCCTATAGAAATTATACAAGCAACATAACCTTGTTCTTTTTCAGGCAGCCATACAAATAATGTTTCCTAGGTTTTAATGTAGAAAATCTATATAGTATTAAATAAAAGCAAGATATATAAACAAAACTGTTTACATTGTATTATATTGCTTAGGCAACTAAGCCTCCGACCAAAAGGACTATCTTAACTCGGCTGGTTGTTTGGCATGCTATACATACACAACTGGCTAACGTCTGTCCGTTGAACGCCATTTATATTTAGTTGTTATTCCTCGTATGCCGCCACTGCTATAAGCTACATTTGGCTGCTTGGCGTTTACTTACGTTTATTTTAAAACTTTGTTGATTTTTTTTTTTTTTTGCAAAATTATGATTAAAAGTTTTTAAATTAATGATCTTGAACAACGGGTAGCTCACTTGCGCATATGGTAAAAAATATCTTGCTTGCGCTTATTTTCTTGCATACATCTACACATATATTTATATATGTAAGAGAAATTTAAAATCAAGAAACCGCAAAACCTCAAGTCTCATGCTTAGCGATTTCCTTATAAGATTCTATTTATTTCCTTTTTAACTTTCAAAAAAAAAAAACTTTGTAAAAAATCTGCTTGTATAGAACTTTTTGAACTAAAAAAAATTGTGGATAAAGTTTTTCCTTCGTTTTATAACTGCTAACAGGTGGACGTAATATTAGTGCAGAAATACACAAGTTAGCTACGCAAATCTTTTGTTTTCAACTTAACTAATGCTTGAGTTTATGATGCATTGCATGATGTTGCACTTATTCGAAGTTCTATTCTATGTCTTAAATGGACTGTGTTTGAATTCCTAAGATAAAAAAATGCACGTGTTGCAGATATTACTCACGGTTTCGCTTAAATTGCTCTTTAACAGCAACGTCGTTTTTCCGTATGTGCCATGTACATATGAATATAATGATTTTCTCCGGTTGAAAAAACTATTTAATATTTATTTCAACCGCTTGCAGTTACCGAAATATAAGACTTTTTACGAAAACATAAATAAATAAATTATTGAGAAACATACACGCTACGCACTGGGAGATAGATATTCACATTTTTACTAATTATCAAAGAGGTATGAAATTTTGGAACTGAATTGCAAGAGAACATAATCACGACCGTAACATCAATTTTAATCTTCTTGAAGAGGGCTTAAAATTTCATAGTTGAATATAGAAAATCTCTTTAAAAACCCACATACAGGCTGTTGTTATCACAAAACTTTCGGGTTTTTGGCATGTGCCGTTTGCCTTATCATATATAGCTGCATGTCGCATGTAGAAAGTACCCTATTACTTTATACAAGCCACCATAGCAGCAAAACAAATGAAAACCATACATACATTCCAGATCTCTGCACTGGAGATAAACCTAACGCCAGCATAAGGGTTCACTTCTTTTTTTGGCAAAAATGTAAATTTAAAGAAACCTTGATAAAAACAAGTAAGAAAAATAACTCTAAAGAGCCATAAACAAATTTTTAAAAAAATTTCAATCGTGCACAAAATAAAACGTTATTTTTCTTAGTACGAATTATACCGTCTACTTACCGTCCAACGAAATGTAAATGGCAACACGATAGCTCCTCGGCCTGGATCACTCAAAACGAAACTGGAACCACCCAATATGCCAGTGGATGAATTACCAAATGAACAGCCGGTTGATATACTTGTCGTACCCAGCTCTACAGCTGAATATTCTTTAAGGCACAAACGAAATGCTGTCGAACAAGAGGGACAACCTTCAATAGAAAACAACAAGCAATAATTAAATAAATATATTATGCATTAAAAAGAACGCTACTCCATTTTGAACTCTGCGAAAAAGTCTATAAACGAAATGTTCTACGAAATGTTTCCACTATATCATGTGGAATAAATGTGAGGTCTCTTTTCAATGAAACGAAACTAAGGGCAAAATTTCTAATTTGACAGAATAAAATATTAGAGGTGCGTTGGCATGGTCGATGGTTCAAATCGGTCGAAAAACGAATATAAATATTAAACATATATTAACTGCAATTCCGGATGAACCCGTGCAGTGCTTGCACAAAGATGGAAGCAGTTGCCTACGCCCGCTCAGTGCTAGGGAATCTCGAAATTTCATTTTTCAGCTTTTTTGATATCTTTTTTTTTAAATAACGGTGATGAGTATAAAAGATTCGAGTATTTACGAACATAATTTGCCTAATTTGATTTAAGTAATGATGACGAATTCCTTCTTTTTTTTAATGACACCAGCATTTTAAGGTAAAAGCCTAATATATGCTGTCATAGTTCAAAACCATCACCACGTCTTTATTTTTTAAAAGTTGTTCATAATTGTTTTCACATTACCTTTCTCGATTTATCTTACAAAGACAACTAAAAACTTTACTGGTTTTCTAAGTTTCAAGTCAATCCGATTAAAAATATGGGATTTTTGAAGATTATTACTACCGCCTTATCTACTGCTATTATTCCTTCTTCTAAATAGAATTGATTACAACATTAACTAATATTTAAAAAAAATATTAAGCTACCAAAAATACGGGCTATAAAGCACTAAGCGGTTTCGAGAATTTTTATTTTTTGTTTTGCTTTCTGTCACAACTTACCTGTTGTTTTTGTACTTCTTATTTCTAAAGGAACACCACAGCAATAGCCATTTAGTAAATGACTATTTGTATTTGAAATTTCTAATAACTCTAATTCAAAATAACCGGCGGCTGATATCTGAAACGGAAAACCAAAGCAAAAATCGTTAAATAATTTTTTAATTAAATAAAAATACCAATAAAAGGAGTTAAGCACAGTCAACAAAATATATTGCTACAGCAGACTTGATATGTAGGAATGACGATATAGAAATTGGGTTGATCTTAACGCAAAATATCACATGTAATCTCGCCATGATTTTTATGACGATCTGATTGGGAAATGTTCCAATCCTATTTAATTTGTTTCGTTTTACGCAAAAAACCGTTCTGATATCGACTAATGAGCCGAATTTGATTGTTTCAAGAACAGCTATTTATTATTTCTCAACTGGAATTGTGGGAAAAATTTCAACTCGAAATAAATAGTTAATGACATGGAAGTTGAAAGAAGCTCCCTTCGAGCTTCCACGACATTTTTCGCTCGGTTTTATTTGCGTATGCCGTCTATCAACTTTTCTTTTCGTACATAACACCACCTTCTTTACAGTGTATTAATATGCGTTTAAAACCCTTATACATTCTGTTGGAAATATTCCAATAATAAACTGTAGATATGATATATCGTAAAAGTAGCAGAGCAAGAATCTGCATCGATTATTTCATTTCATCAATCTTTGTTGAAGCTATCATGATTGAGAACACAAAACTCTTAAGCCGGGGAAAAAAGCGTATTTATAATTCATCGAAATCTGTGCAAACAGGAAAAATCCAACATGACGCCAAGGTGGCGTTATACATGCACACTTTTAAACAGACACAAAACAAGGATTTTAGTCAGGCAAGTAATAATTCATAGAAGAGAAAAAATTTGTAAGCAAAGCAAAATCAAGTCAACAAGCAGACCAGCTAACCTAGTAGGTAAATGCATGCATGCATATGTAGCATGTGACCAGTTACATGACATTCATTAATAAAACTTTGTACAAAACACTGCACTTGGCTACGCATCAAAGATATCGTCGTTGAGGCTTCTGCTGCTGCAAACGATTCAACGTAAGGAATTTTAACAATTTAAAAGAAAGAATTAGCGGCATACCATAAAATCCTCTGCTTTAACAATTTCAATTCCATGGAATCAGTTGAAGAATCGAGAAATAAATGATAAAATATGCAGTTTTAAGTGATGCTTTCAAGAAAACCGGTTGCCATATACATATATCTAGACTGCATATGTGCAACCACTATCCCCCCAAAATACAACCAGTGGGCAGTCTAAAGGCAGAGATTGAAGAGGAAAATGGTTAGAAGAAAAAAAGCTGTGGAAGATACATAAATAGAGAATCAGATGAGATTGTACACACTTATATTGCGTTTATGTAAAAACAATCGAGAGAAGTAGTAGAAGAGTAGTAAAGAACAGCGTAGTTGAACGGACTAAGCTGCAAACAGAATACGGTTTGGATTGATCGGTTTTTGACATTCGTTGTATTTTTTTAAGGAAAAAAAATCAATCGTAGCACTGAATTTTTTCAATCGAAGTCATTATCAAGTCACAGCAAGAGAGAAAAAACATGGTATAAAGGAATACACACACTCGATACAAACCCATTCTCTCGCATCCACTTAGAGTTGAGCACAGGTGGGAATCTGGGAATATATAGTCTTACTGCAGTACGTAAGCGCGTGTTTTGTTTTGTTTTCATTCCGATTTTTTTGCTTTTTTTTTTTTTTTTTGCTAAAAAGCTATTATGATAAAAAAAAATAAAAAAACACAAAACAAGAAACTCACAGAAACACATCAAGAAAAAAACGTTGAATCAAATAAAAGTGGTAAAAAAGAAGGTGGAAACACTACAGCAACAACAAAAAATATTCAACACACATCAAGACGTTGATCAATGCAATGAAGTTGATAATAACGATGAGAACGACGATGGATGGAGACGAGTTTAGACAGCATTATTGTGGTGTGGTGATGTGTAAGGTTGGTGGACAGAATGGACAGCCAAACATTACATACATCGTAACAATATTACATATGCATGAGTTTATCTATGCTATGAGCGGCAATATATTTGTGTGTGTATTTTCCAGCAAAAATAAAAGAAAAATTTTCGAATTGATTTCTCTTTGATTTTTCTTGAATTTTCAAATCGCAACAAGAAGACAAGCAAAAAAAGAAACTTGTATTTCCGCAGCACATTTTCTATTTCTAGACCATGCTCTTCATGAACTAAGAAAGGATTTCACTTGATTTTTTACAACCCGATGAGAGTATGTGAAACAATGTTTAAATATATTCAAGGGACTGATTGTCGAAGATTGAGTTTGTATTGACATCGCGATGTGTGTGACCGATAATGATAATGATGAAACACAAATGAAAAGAAGATGCGGCAGCAATGATATTCAAGACCATGTGGATGTTCTTAATGATGACGACGATGATGACGATGGACTATGACAATAACAATGACAACCAATCACACCAAAGACAATCAGCCTCTTACACATATACGAAGAAGAGAAAAGTCAAAGCCGAGCCAAGAAATTATATGATGGTGATACTCGAGATAATAAGTAGCAGCAACGAAAACAATAACACTGAAATATGATTACTGCAAGTAAAGGACCCCTTATTATATAACTTTGTTTTTTTTTTTTCAATTTTTGTTTTCAAATGTAAATACGAGTTGCTTCTTTATCCGGCCAGATGCGCGAGCGTAGAGAGTATGCGGAAGTAAAGAATAAACAAAGAAAATGAGATGTAAAAATAAGAGGCAAGTCAGAATATAAGGTAAGCATAAAAAGTGGTTCGCAAAGTTGTGCCCACAGCGATATATACTTTAACGTGTCTCTGATACGTGTTTCTAAACTTTTCATCAGTGCAGAAAAAGGATGGAAGAAAGAAAAACCACTCATAAGAACTTAGAAGAAATGGAAGAAGTGGAAAAATTAAAAGAAGAAGTCAAAAACGAAATAATTGTATATTAGTTTTTTAGCTATTAGCTAATAGCTGAGCACCTCTAAGTAGGCGCCCATTTTTAAGCTCGGTCACTAAGTGTTTTGTCCAAACCATATGGTACAAATTTTATGTTTTTTATATCAACTTTTAAATTTCTGGTTTCTTCCTAGACCAGATACTTAACAAAACCTTCTCCGTAAGTTAAACGCGAATGACACAAGCGGGCACTGCCCGTTTAATGGCAAGCCATTAAGAAATAATACATAATGAGTCGATATAATAATAGATTTTAGCTTGGGTAAAGTTACAAACATCCACATCAATTTAAAATGACGTGTGTAGTAAGAACGCATCTTAACAGGTTGCATCAGTGCTTGATACAAATGAACATAAAAACGGCCTTTTTCCGTCAACTTTTTGCGGTATCAATAGCATACATCCGTCGTTTTCTCAATTTACAAAAGTCATTCTTCTTTTCTTTTTATCAATTTTTTTTCTCTTACTTCAAAGTATGAGGTAGGGAGGAACATATTTTTTTGCCGATTATTTCTTATGAAATGATTTAACAACCTTGTTGAGAATTCTGGCTTCACACATTACATATCAGCAATTGCAGAAGATACTCGGTGAAAGGAAGACAAACGAAAAAACAAAGTGTCAAAGTGTTGTAAATATCTCGACAGAAATGAATGCAGCAGACGCTAGTAGTAATAAGTACAAGTATTTGATTCGTGTGTAATTTTGTTATTCTTTCGATTGCTTGTGCGGGAGAGTTTTCTTTTTCTTGCACACTGTTTCAGCAGCAGCCGACTTTTATCAAATTAAGTCTTTTCTGACTATTTTTCTCAGCCGTTTTTCTTCTTTTCGCAATGCAATCGCATAATGATGACCACTTTCAACACAGTATTACTTTAGCGGGTCGAAAAGGAAGAAGAAAAAAGCATATCGTTTGTATCGTATCCAATCGCGCATACTCATTTTAAATGAGAAAAGACCTGAAAAGAAAGAAATCATTGGAATTTGCATGACATCGGCCTCATTAATGATCTGTTTGTTTGATTCCTTTTTGTTTTTTCCCTCTTTTCACGGTATCAAAATCGCAGCAGCAGTCGGTGGCAACTTTATATAAAAAAAAGGACGACTGTTATAAAATAAAGCACTACCGTAACAATAAACGAAGTTGAAGTCTGTGTCAACACTCAGCATCAACGGCAGTAGACGCAACAAGTGCGGAATTAGGATTGTCTCAAGTTGTTTAATTTGATAAGTTAAGTGTTATGCGCGCAGAGGAAAAGTCCAATATGATGGCAGCCTTCTTCTTATTATTTATTTATTTTATCTGCCATTTCAAAAGTGTGTTCTCATGATGACAAACGCTTCTCCGTTGATATTGTTTGCTGATAATATTACTATTATATTGCAAATCGCATGAAAACGCAATTATCGATCATTACAATAGAAACACGAGTAGAAAATTGTACACCTTCTAAATTACACGTCAGATTATGAATGCTAGGGGTGAACTAATTTTTAAAGTGGTGTAAGTGCATTAAAAAAAAAAAAAAAAAAAAAAACATTGAGATCTTATTTTTGCTTTTCGATAAAAATTATATTACAAATAATACAATCCAAAATTTGCTAGGATTTTGTAAAAGCGAAGTTAGGTGGTATTTTATAGTATGTCTTTTGACAGGTTTGAGCAAGTATATTATGTTTTAAACGTTTATAAAATGAAAACAAATAAGAATACAACCAATGATTGATTTCATAATTTTATTAGTTTTAAAATAATGTTTCACAGTTAATTAACAGTTAATTATTTTCAAATTTATAACGAAACTTATTTTTTTCTCTTTGTTTCCAAATAACCTTAATACCGATAAATGGCGCGATAAGTTATCTACTCTTTAAATCACAAGGATTTTGTTAATTGCAAATATTTCCTAACTTTTTAAAAGGCTTGAATATCTTGCTTGTAACAAGATTAGGGTCTTCAAAATGAATGCTGAATGAACAGCTCCTATAGAAGATGAATAATATTTGAAGGAAAACGTGCAACGATCATTTAAAATGAGGAAAACCTTTGCACATCAGAGAAATATAAAGCGACT